CGGGACCCAGTTGCCCGCAAATGACCCAGGGCTGACCCCACCCACTTCCCTCCCCTCCTCCGCGCTTGTACTCAAGACACTGGCTCAAGGGCGCCCCCTCCCGGCTGCGGTGGGGATCGGCTCCTCTGGGAGAGGAAGCGGGGCCAGCACAGTCCGGGTCAGAGGGCCGCCCATCAAGGTCCTGCTGGAGGGACTCCAGCCAAGGCCCCTCTGGGGACCCATTCCATACACTCCTGGTTCTAGGATCTTCCACGCGCTCTTTTACCGCGGGCTCCTCCACGGGCTTCCCCCCCCTCCCCGCCCCTTGAAAGGCGCAAACATTCCCAGTTTTAATTCGGGCCAATTATCTCGTTTATACGACTTAAAATGTTTCCTTTTAACTCATTTCAATCTAGTAAATATGCTTCAGCAAGTAGCTAATTTCTCAGGGATGGCTTCGTCTCTCCATTTGCATATAAAGCGCATTGGGGTTGGCCTCATTTCGGGGGTCGTGGGTCGCAGACAGCAGGGCCTCCTCTTCCAGGTAGGGCGCCTAGGTTTGGCCGCGGGCCGACATCGGCCAGGGTCCGCGACCTTGCCCAGACCCCGACAGCAGGGGGCAGGACAACCCCAAGCGCCGCTCCCGCCCTGGCCGGCACTTATCCCGGAGAGGGTGCGCCCTTGGGTGCCCATTGAGGCGTGGGTCGGGGATGCATTTATCCTGAAGTATGTTTATTAAATCGTGCCTGGAGATGGATGGACGTGGATACAGGGGAAGAAATCACAGGGCTCAGTCGAGCAATCTTCTGGCTTTAAATTCCGAATAAAAGTCTCAAATATTCCCGGGTCAGGGGGGCACTGTCTCATTAAAACCACTCTCGTCCCGAAACTGCCATGCAGACATTAAAGTGCAGTATTTTTCAATTAGAGCTGACGAATTCAATCAAAATTCCATAGATTAGGATGAAATGAGGCATGGGTCATTTACAGGGGAATTTAATTGCCGAGCCATTAGACAAATAGTATATTTGCCATTCCCGCGTTATCCATCATTTCGACATCAATACCGGGCCGCGTCTCCCCGTCCCGCGGCTGCCCGGCGTCGCCGTAAACACTCCCTTCCCTGTATCTTCTGATTGTATCTGATTTCATTTAGGGCCATGGGGGATTATAAATGTTCACGCAATCAAGTTCATTAGGACTTCAAATCGCATTTCTGATTGGGATCGCTCGGCAGCCGTCCTCGGAGCGCCTTTCAAACCCCAGCGCGAGGCTTGCGAAAACATCCTTTTGAATTTAAAGCTTCCCATCCTTTTGTCTTGCGACGCCCCCGCCCGCCACCCTCCGGAGGCGCAGCGCTGCCGGGGCCTTCGCGGGGGAGCAGCCCTGAACCCCAGTCGCCGGCCTCGGGAGACCCCTCCCCCAGCCGCGATCTCGTTGCCGGGCTGGGAAGCCCYCCGGCGGCCCTGGGCGCTCAGGACCCGAGGCCTGAGACGCGCGCGTCGGCTGGTCGAGTGGGTACCAGCCCCGCGTCTCCCGCCCCAGCCCAGTGCCACTGATGAGATTTGGGGGCCCCCGGAGTCCCGCCGCCGCAGGCCTGGGGCAGCAATTGGACTGGCCCTAAGGACTGACACTGGTCCGTTTCCCTCCAAGGTCCCGGGTGGGGGCGGTACCCAGCGAAGCCATAGACAGGGCTCCCGTTAGCAAACCCAAGAGACAAAGGAGGAGGCTCTTCTGGGGAGAGCACGACATCCCTTCCAGCACAGTCGAAAAATAATAGCTTAATATTAACTGCTTCTCATAAAAATATACTTTCACAGATACAGTTACAAGAAGAAAACCCTCATTTTATCCTCGTACTTTGTGCTCATCGCTGTTAGCTGCCTCAGTAATTTAATTGGAATAGAACGTGAGAAATGTGTCATTTTTGAAGAATTTATGCATCACTTCCTAGAAATCTCATTGTGTTAACTAGGAGCCTACTGCGTTCTGTTTAGAACCATAATCACATTTTTATGTGTCTGTATTATGCGTTAATGTGACCTCCTATCTTTAGCAGATAAAAAAAAAATCTCCTTCCATAACAAACTACCACTTACATCAAATACACGAAAACCTGTCTTCCCTATGTTCTTCAAACTTACCTACTTTCTCCAGATCATGGATAGGAAATGTGAATGGAAAAAAGTGCCTACCAAATGAATAATTACACACCAAATTAAAATCCTGCACTAAACATAGTCGACAGCAAATACTGCATTCTCAATCATGTTTATTGCTTACAAATTGCATTACAAAGAAATCTACTCTTTTTATTGGAGTGATTAAGCAGAGTGTTAGGATTGCAGAAATGCTGCTCCTGAAGATCAGACGAAGGCTGCAAACCCAGCTAGTCACATTGCAACAGTAAATGTATAATTTTGTTAAAGAACACGTTTAACACACAGACGAGGACCGGGCTGTCATTATGACACCATAAAAGAGTCAACTGAAAATTATATTTATTTATAAACACATTGCCTATAAAATGCACATATTTAATACAAAGAAAGCAAGCAATTCCATAATCAATATTTTAATTACTGAATTTTTTATCATAGCAGCACAGTTCTCTATGATACTTTATGACTCCATGGCCTTCCAGAGCTCTTCTCCCTTTATCATGGGAGCTAAAGTCCTTCCTTGTTTTCTTCTCTTCCTCCCTTCTTTCTGGGCTGAGCAGGTTGGAGGGTGAGGGTCAGACCGTTTGCTGATGGCGCCACCTGCAGGACTCTATGACAAGGAATTTCCACACCTCTAAAATCTTCCCAAGGGCTCTGGGTTATTTTAGCAATTTAATGAAATTGATTTTGTTTTAACATAGAAGGATGTTAACAACTTCAAGATAAATCCTGGAGTCTAAAAAGTATTTTGATRCGGCCAAACTATGCTTAAGTCTGAGAAATAAGATACAGCATTGATCAGAGTTGTACTGCCAGGGCTTTTGAATATCCCAGTGGCATATAGAAAATAGGACTAAAGGAATAATTTATCCTTGAAGGGATGGAATAAAAGATGAAGTATTCTCTGTTTATCACTTGGTCCTGGGAGCTACCCTGAAGAGGTAAGAAGCAATCAGCATCTGAAATTRCAGTGACCGAGGGCCTTCTCAGAGCCCAGGGTTTCGAGGAGGGGGCTGAGTTGCTGGAGCAGACCAGCTCATTCTCCAAGTCTGCACTTTAACCATTTCTGTAGAGGGTTAAGTGTTCCTTGCAAAAGTTCAACAGCCTGCCCCATTATGTTGGTCTAACCGGTTATTTCGGAGATTGGAAATTTGATGATTATATACTTACTGAGATTAGCAAATCCTCCTTATACCTAGGGAGTCAGTGGCTTTGATTTTCTACCAAACCTGCTGAATTGATGGCTATCAAGTAACCTAAAGTTAAACTGACACAAATTCACTAAAAAATAGACCTAATGCTGCATTTGAAATTTTAACCCTAAAATGTCACACAGTGTCCAGCCCGTGTACTAACTGCCCGGGGACTGTGCACTGAGTCTGGGGGTCCAGCTGTGAACATTTGCTCCTGTCCTGGGGATAGGTGCACCAGAGAAGTCCACCTCTCTAGGACCAGTGTTGGTGGAGAACCTCACTTAGGTAATTTTGGATCCTTGTGTTAAGATGCAGGTAATAATCAAAGGTATTTGATAAAAGTAGGAAGAAAAGCATGCCTTGGCCGTTTTTTTTTCCATTTTAGTAGAAGCAGCAGGTAAAGGGGCCATTCACTCTTTTATTACCTTATCAATTTTGAACCAGGTGAATGTACCATTAAAAACTAAATGTGAAATTAAAGAAAACAATTTAGACCTCACAGAATCAATTTATGCTATATRTGCAACAAGAAAAATGACGTTCAGTGTGGACTATCTAAGAAAGTAAAAAAAAAATTAGACTTTTTAAAATAARAAATAAATGCCAGGGTAAATTTTGTTTACTGGAAAGGAAATAAAATGGGAGAATTCTGGTCTTAAAATAGAATATCTTTTTCGATATTCATTTCAGCTAATTTGTCCCCTCTCTATCTCCTTTCTCCCTACTTCTCTTCTTCCTTCCCTTTCTTCTTAGTCTCTTCCTTATGCAAGTCCTATAATTCTAGAACTTTCCAGCAATATAGCATGGAGCATAGCTAGACAGGTCAGTGAAACAACTTTTTTTTGTCAGTTATTTTATTTATTTGGCTATAACAAAGTAAGTTGCTAGCAATAATTAAATTCTGCAAAACTATGAATGAATTGTACCTCATTTGATGACTAAGATAGCCTCAAGTGCACAAGCCATTTTGCCCCATACAGTCATGGTCATGATTCAGAGACAGCATGTAGCGCATCTGGACAGCCACCAGGACCCAGGAGGACTGCTGTTCAGAGCCTGCTTCCTCCCTGGCCATTCTCTTGCAGCGGTGATGTCRTGCTCCTGAAGAGTTGGGGGTGGGTTAGAGGACTCCCCTCATCCCAGGAGAGCCAACTTATGGCTGTTACTGTCACACATGGGTCYATGATGACCAAGGGTGCTGGCTGGAGAGGACAGACCCCATATTTCATATCAGCCCTAGGACATGTTGTCCTGCTCACCTGGTCAAGAGCTCCAGGAGAAGGCAGGCAGCCACCATGCCTGTCTTGCTGCTGAAGAGTTCCCAGCCCCTGGTCTTGGGCTCCATTCCCAGCAAAAACTGCTACGAAGGGTTAGTCTGGGTTAGTCAGATAAATGAACAAAGGTCAAAAGAAACCAAAACAAGAAACCAGAAAATAACAAGAGCTGGTGAGGATGTAGAGAAATCAGAACCCTGGGGCATTGTTGATGGGACTGTGAAATGGGGTAGCAGCCATGGAAAGCAGCATGGAGTTTCCTCAAAAACTAAAACTGGAACTACCATCTGATTCGACAGTCTCACCTCTGGGTGAATTTCAAAGGAGCTGAATGCAGGGTCTTGAAAAAATATTTGCATGATCATTGTATTAGTCAGTTTTTTTKGGGGGGGTTATAAAAAAACACCTGTGGCTGGATACATTTCAGCAAGATCACTTGGGGCTGCAGAAGACCTGCCTTATACCATTTCATCTCATGAGTCCCTAAGCTAGTGAGAGCTGCCTTCCAGGTGAGCCAATTGCAGCTGGTTTCACTTCAGTATCTGTCTCTGCTGCTCAGTGGAGAAACACAGTTCTGAATCCATCTGTAGGCTGTTAACCATGGGCTATGCAATGTACAGTGTACTGTATCCCCTTCCAGGACAAAGCAATCTTTCTAGCATCACCTTTTGACTGTAACTGTTCACCTGCCCTCTGGTTCCTTATACCTGTCCAGTGAGGTTCAGAAGCCTTGCTCTGGAGGCCCAGGGCCTCCTGATTTGTAACCCCCATCTCTAGCCCTGCTTCCTTCCACCTRCCAAAGGATGGGGACCTTTTCTTCTGGCCGTCCATCCATCATGCCCTGCACTTTCCTGCACCAATGACACCATTCAAGTTCTCCTTTGGGTCCAGTGATGACACCTGGAGGGTCCTGGGAGAGTTATCTACTTGGGTTGGGGGCCTCTGGGGTCTGGAAACAGTGTTTACATATCCCCTTTGAAGGACAGGTCAATTGTCCATGATCAAAGGGTGGGATGGAGATGGGGATGRGTCATCTGGAGGAGTTGGAAGATGACAAGCTGTCTTATCACTCTCTTGGAAGGTCCAGTGTGTCAAAATGTGACCATCGACCCAGGCTCAGCCTGTCTTCTCCTTCATGGTGGCCCACCTCATGGATGGACCCTTCTTGCCAGGGGGTTTTACTCACCCGTGGTGCACACAGCATCCCATCTTAAGCTATAGCTGCGTCCTGGGGCCTGAACTTGCTTCCAGACAGTGACAGTAGGAGTGTGTGCCCTGGCCTCTGGGGTCTTGCTCTGGCTTTAATTGGAAAGCAAAGGGGCCACTGCTTATCCTCATATGATGACCATAAAGAGTTCTTGCTTTGAAATATAGTGTGCTGGGCTGGGGCTGTAGCTCAGTGGCAGAGTGCCTGCCCAGCATGAGGGAAGCCCTGGGTTCCATCCTCAGCACACGCACGCATGCACACACACACACACACACACACACACACACACAAGTGTATTGATAGATAGAAAACTTTAGGTCAAGTAAGGCAGTACATTGAGAGATGAGTATCTATCACTGAGCTGCTTATCACTCATAGTTCCCGAGAGAAGAGGGCTCACCGTGCCACAGGGCCATGCAGGGAGGCATGAGCATTGGTCAGGAGATGGGGGAGGAACAAGGCTTAGGTTTGGTTAGTGTGAATACCTCAGTGGCTCTCGGGCATAGGAGCTGTCCCTCATTGTCTAGTTCATGGTCCTGGAGTGATCAGGACAGATGGACAGTGGCCCTTAGTGAGAGTCACATAAAGAAGGTGGCTGTGTGCTCTGGCCTGGTTGGCATGCATGTGAAAAGATGCTCTGTGGCCAGTCGTCTGTTGTCTCTAGGGACTAGCGAGTGGGAAGGGCTGTCCCTCATGTCAGCAAGGCCCCAGATGTCACAGCACAGGAAAAGAGCAAACAGAAGACAAGGTCAACATGTTCCTAGATARTGAGCCCCTCTCTCTTGCTGTGTGGGCTCAGCTGAGCTGTGGCAACACCCGTGGACCTGTGCATTCCAGGCTACTGCCCAGAGGGGTCTGCTGGGGTTGAATGAGGGTGTCAGACAAAGGACTCCTCTGGGACCAAAAGTCTGACTCGACACCCCTTTAAGGTCCTCCTGGGAAAGTGCTGGATTGCTGTGTGCTTGCTAGCAGTGACAGGCTCCAGGGAGGTGCCCTGTCATGGAAGCAAGAGTGCTCTCAGCAGGTGGGCCTGGCATGTTCTGGGCACAGACCCACTCCCAGTGGCCAGGCTCCAGGAGGGGGTAGGAGGCCTTCCCTATGAGGCGGAGGGTCCACAGGCAATGGGGCAGTAGGCGTGCTGCCAGTTCATCAGGGGTCAGGGACAGATCTTAGAAAAAGACATATGCCTGTTAGTTCAGCTTGTGTTGAAAGGTACTTTGCAACAGCAAGTGCAGCCGTAGTCACGCTGTCCTGTGAGCCTCACAAGCAATCCTGAGATGCAGGAAGGATGTTCATTACCAATTCCATGTTGAGGCAAACCCGAGGCTTGGCAGCTTTGTGCTTCCGCTGGTCACATGGGAGTGAGGGGCGCGGGAGGCCCATGCAGATGTGCCCCTCCTCAGAAGGCGCTCTTCCCCACAGGGCCTCCCTTCCCCACAGGGCCTCCCTGAAGGGCCAAGATGAGGACCTGCAGCCTTGGTTGCAAAGCTCTTTCAGTGCAAAACACCCTCTGGCTCCAAAAGTAGGTAATCTTGCAGGGTCTTGGGCAAGGGCAGCAGGGGTATGAGGTGAAAGCAGTTTTTTCCAGACAATCTGCGAATGGCACAGCGGCAAAGATGCTGCAGGCAGCGCGGGGTGTGGGCCAAGGCGAAGAAAGACTGGTAGAAAGGCTGGTGCATCTGGAAAGGAAGGCACAGGGAGCGTAAGGGGGCGCACGGAACCCACCCACATTTCTCCCCCACCAGGCCACCATAGAAAGTCGTCCCTCTGTGGCTCCCCGGCTCAGTGCAGGGAGGAGGGCTGTCCTGGGCTGTGCTTCTACAATGTAGTTCCCACCCAGTCAGGGAGGCGTGGTCTTGAGCGACTTGGGCTGTGCACTCCAATCCCTTCCTGCCCTGTCCTCTCTGACAGCAGCCCTGCAGCTCCCAGGGTGGCCTCCTGTCAAACCAGTCCTGACAAGCCTTCCCTTTGGCCAGTGATGGGCTCCAGAGCCCAGGCCAAGCCATCGGCGCATGGTGATCCCTGGCGTTCATTAACATGCACCTGATGCAGCCAGTGAACCGGGAGAGGGTTATCTAGGAAGAAACATTCTTCCTCTTTGTGCAATTGACAGTCACCCGTGGACCATGCTGTGTGTGGATGTGACCGCCTTTGCTGTGCGGGTTGCTCCTTTTTTGGTACTGGGATGGAACCCAGGGGTCTTCTACCACTGCGCTACATCTCCAACCTCTGGCCTTTCTGTTTGGAGGTAGAATCTTGGTAGGTTGCCCAGGCTGGCCTTAAACTTGCAATCCTCCTGCCTCAGCCTCCTGAGTCAATGGGATTGCAGGCATGTGCCACCACATGTGACGTGAGTTACATCTTGAGCCATCAGAAGAGGAAGCCCACACTCAGGGCCAGACTGGCATGTCCAGAGAAGGAGCCAGGACCTGCACACTCAGGCGGCTTCAAATCCCTTCCCTGATGTTGCTTCCCTAAGCTCCAGCAGCCTCCAAGCCAATGTGGGCTGTTGTGTGCTCCCTGCAGCCACAGCACCCTCACCACCCTCGGCTGCATCTGTGGAGGACAGGTTCCAGGACCCCTGAGGGTACCCAAATCTGCARGTGCTCAAGTCCCTTCTGTCAAATGACACGGTGTTTGCAGGTAATCTGGGCACATCCTCCCATGGACTTTCAATCACCTCTAGCTGACTTAGGATGCCCCCCAGAGATGTCACACTGTATTGTTCAGGAAGGAAGGGCCAGAAGCCAAACACAGCCTGCACATGTTCAGTGTAGTTTGTCCCTTAAGATTTTTGATCCCTGAATCCAAAATATGGATGCAGAACCYATGTGCAGGGAAGGTGACTGTACAATAACTGGCTCTTGGCTATGTGGTCACTCAGACGCCAACATGTAAATGTGCCCCAGTGGGGTCCCCTCTCCTCATTAGTTCTTTACCTTTCTTTTTTTTTGGTGCTGGGAATGGTAGCCAGGGCCTGACATGCTAGGCAAGTGCTCTACCGCTGAGTCGCACCAACTCAATGGTTCACACTTCCTGGATCCATGAAAAACTCCAAACAGATGCGCAGACAGCAAAATCTTGTACCCAAGTGGGAGAGAGAAGCATCTCCTCACCTGGTACACTTCTTCAGGAATCATCTCCTTCCAGGACTCGGACACGTGCAGCTGAGTGTAGGAGTTGAAAAGAACCTCGATCACGCCGGGGGCTGGCGCGCAGGTCCTCAGCACCTGGTGGGAAGGAGAGAGAGGCACCGTAGGGCGCCTGGGTTGGGGTTCACCTGCAGAAGGGTGAGAGGCATGCAGATATGTCGGGTGCATGCCCGCCTCTCCCTGGCTGTGGGACTGGGGTCTCAAGTTGGAGAAGAGCCACAACACAGCCCAGCAGGAGGCTGCTGGGCCCAGGAGTGAACCAGGACAAGCACAGGCAGCTCTGAGTGCCCTCTCCTCTCAGGAGGGCTGCTTTGAAAACTCTGGGCACCAGGACTCAAGCCACCAAGTTCCAGAGGAAGACGCTGAGGGCCTGAGGGCGAGCAAACCCGAGTTGCACCAGAAACCTGGCCCCAGGAGGGCGTTCCCAGCCTCCGCCTCYTTGAATCAGGAGGGTGACAAGGGCCCACTTCTTGGGCTGCTGAATGTCCTCTTAGCTTGGCCTTTACATTTTATTTTCACAAGGCCCACTGGCAAAGATTCCTGTTTTCTTAATTGCAAGTTTATAGATTGAGTATATCAGCTTCACTGTAAAGATGGGAAAAATAAATTTTTGCTTTTGAAAAATAAATTTTTTATCATGGAGAAATTTGAACCACACAAAATAGATCAAATAGAAAGATAAAGCCCTATGCACTCAGCACTGAATCAACGTCGATCCTGCTGCATCCATTTCCCCTCGTATTATCTTCTTATTTATTTATTTATTTATTTTTGTGAGGCTGGGGATGGAACTCAGGGCCCTGCACAAGCTCTGCCGCAGCTTCGTCCTCAGCACTCACCTAATATTGTTTTAAAGCAAAACCCCACTTGTCCTTATCATTTCACCTGTAATTATTTCAGTGTTTCCCTTAAAGGACCTTTTAAAAAAAACATGATAGCACCTGAGAAATTAACATTTGTTTCTTTCTTTTATTTTTTTATTTGTTCTTTTTAACAATTGTTTCTTAATATCATCTAATATTTAGTTAGCATTACAATGTACAAATTTCTCTTAAATGCCATTATATTAACAAAATAATTTCCCTTCTGGTACTGGGGAAATGAATATAATGCCATTAACAAAATAATTTCTCCTTTGCCACTGAGCTACGTTACTAGTCCTTTTTGTAATTTTTTTTTCTTTTTCTTTTCTTCCTTTTTTTTTTTTTTTAGACCAGGACTCATCAAGTTGCCAAGGCCGGCCTTGAACTTGCCATCTTCTTCCTCAGCCTCCTGAATTGCTTGGATTACAGGCATGTGACACCACACTCTATTAATTTGTTTGGTTTATTTTATTTTATTTTTTTCCTCTCATTTGTTTCATGGTATTTATTTGTTGGAGAAACCGGATTCTTGATCCTGTAGTTTTTCTTTGTGGGATTTTGCTGATTGTAACCCTGTGGAGTTTTGAAACCTGCTGTTCTTCCTCTGTCCTCTGCAAAAAGTAGCTAGATTTTTCAGCTTAACAGAATTGAGATTAGATTTTGGAGAAGGGAAGGGCAACCTCATAGCATTCTTTTTGAGGGTCAGCTTTGGTGACAAGCTCACTTTTCCAAGACTTGGTTGAACAGGCTGAAGTCCTGGGAGTCTTCCAAGAACAAGTACCTGTGGAGACCATGACAGGAGCCAGTGGCCAGCCTGGCCTGCACTCTGACCCTGGGCCTCTGAGCGTGGCCTCAAACAGAAGGGTGCATTTGAATCCCTCAGTACAGTTGTTGCCCTTACAACTCACTTTGCTTCTTCATTGGTTTGGATCTAAGATCCTTCAAAATACAGAGAGTCAAAATTTAAAAAAGAATCCTTATAGTTCTTTGTTCAGGGATAACCACTATCAACATTTTGTGTATGCTAATGTTTTATGCCATTTAGACAACACATTTACACACACACACACACACACACACACACACACAGTTCCAACCTATAGTGGTTCTGCTTAAACAACTCTTTGATTCTACAGTGGAGTGTAATTGACATGCGTTCAGAAGAAACTGTATTTTTAAAAAACATTTTTTAGTTGTAGTTGGACACAATACCTTCATCTTATTTATTTTTAGGTGGTGCTGAGGATTGAACCCGGGGTCTTGTACATGCTAGGCGAGTGCTCCACTGCTGAGCCACAACCCCAGCCCCAAGAAACTGGAGTTTGAATGTGGATGTTCTCCTGGACTTGTGACATGTGGTACCTTCTTCTCTTCCCTGTGATGCTAGACGGGGCTGGGCTGCCCACCAGCCCCTGCTCACCAGAGGTAACAACCAGGGCTCTGCATTGTTCTGTGTTGTTGAGCTCCTCAATTCAGTAGGTCAGGCATGCATCTCCTCTGCTGATGTTTTTAACTTACAATGACTTTATTGGTACATAATCTCATTATTAACTAAGGCTCATCTGCATAACAAAAATGCTAACTGCTTTGCATATTATTTTGAAACTTGAGTTTTTTCTGCTTAAAATAGATTGTGAATAATTCAAAAATTATAAATGAGCATTTCAGGATCATTTTTGTGGCCATATATTTTATTCTTGAATACATCAGAATATATTCATTGAATTAACTATGTAAGTTGCCTCAATATTTGGATAAAACAATATCCTTGGATATAATTCTATCCCTCTTTTCCTCCACTGAAACTTTTTATTTATTTATTTAATTTTTTAAAAAAATATTTTACTTTTACATTTTAGGTGGACACAATCCCTTATGTGGTGCTGAGGATCGAACCCAGTGCCTCATGCCTGCTAGGTGAGCACTCTACCGCTGAGCCACAACCCCAGCCCCCAATCTTATTTAAATACACTGAGAAATTTACATTCTAGAAATGGAATTGAAGGATTAAAGGTATGTACATTTTAAGGCTTTTAAAACATACTGCCAAATATAAGAACATAAATTGGTGCAGTTTTTAAAAAATATATATATTTTAGATGTTGCTGGACCTTTATTTTATTCATTTATTTATATGTGGTGCTGAGAATTGAACCCAATGCCTCACACTTGCTAGGCAAGTGCTCTACCACTGAGCCACAGCCCCAATTTGGTGCAGTTTTTGAAGAAACAAATATAAGAGTGCATCTCTCCCCCTACCCAAAGCATCTCAATGATTGATTAAATTTGATAGCTGCAACATGGAATATTGACTTTTGGTTTGATTAATTACTTATCTTTCTTCTTTTATGACTTGCTAAATTACATCTTTTGCTCATTTTTCTATTGGTCTGTTCATTTTATTTCTCTGACTTGGAAGTATACTTTACTTTAGGTTGTTTTTCCAAGTAGACAATATAGTGTTTTTTGCAAATATAGTGTTTTTCTTCTTTAATATTAATATTTCCTATTTGTTTTTCTTGTCTTATTATATTGGCTATCACTTCAATGTTCAATTAAAGTTCAATGCCAAATAACAGCATTGATAAAGACTGTGTACTCATTCTGTTCCCAATTTTAATAGGAATTCATAGGATTTTCTTTAATGTTTCACCATAAACATAATCTTGGATATAAGTTTCATATAAATATCCTGCTCTGATTTCAGAAAACACCTTTCTATTGCTAGGTTGTTACAAAATTTGAGATTTAATTTAATTCTATCTGTTATATTACCAAGTTTATAGAACAGGATTTTCCAATGTTGTCTCATTTCTGCCTTTATAAAACCAACTCTAATTGGCTATTCTTCTCTCCAATTTCTATACGTTGTGGGTATTTTATATGATATATATATATATATATATATATATATATATATATATATAATGTATGTAATATAATGCTAGATTTACTTTGATAAGGTTTTTATTTATTTATTTTTTTATATTCAGGATGGAACCCAGAAGTGCTTTACCACTGAGCTACATCCCTAGCTCTTTTTAAAATATTTTAAGACAGATTCTCACTAACTTGCTTAGGGTGTTGCTTAGTTACTGAGGCTGACCTCTAACTTGTGATCCTTCTGCCTCAGCCTCCAGGTCTGCTAGATTATTGGCATGAGCCACAGTGCCCAGCTGCTTTGTAGTGTTTTCTCTTTTAGCATTTTTGAAAATTGGGTTTGAATATCACTTTATGTTAACTTAGTACAACTATCTGAAGAAAATTAATCTTTTCAATATTTGGAAAGATTTTTAAAAGTATACAGTTATTGGGATTAAGACAACATGACAGAGTTTTAAAAACATTTAGTGGTGCTAGTACTGTAGCCCAGGGCCTCTTGCTTGCTGGGCCACTCTGGGCTTGATCCCCAGCACACCAYATGCGTGYGCGGGCACACACACACACACACACACACACACCCCTAATCAATTGGCTTTTGTTGAGCAAGTCTCCTTTAAAGTTCACTAACCCATTAATTTGAGCCATTTTCATGATTATTTCCCGTCTGCCCTCTGCTTGGTATGGTCTACTCCTTGGATTGATGGCTCATTTGATTTAGTGGTATTTTTTTCCCCTGAGTCATATATAATAGCAATAAAAGAGAATAAAATCATGGCATCTACTGGCAAATGGATGGAGTTGGAGAATATAATGCTAAATGAAGTTAGCAACTTTAAAAAAAACTTTTTGTAAAATAACTATTTTATTTATTTACTTTTATGTGGTGCTGAGGATTGAACCCAGTGCCTCACCCATGCCAGGCAAGTGCTCTACCACGGGCCTACAGCCCCAGCCCCCTGAAGTCAGCAACTTTAAACTGGCATCAATTTCCTTTTCAACATAGGTGGCTCATAGCAATAAATGTTAAGGCACAGTACTTCCCCTGTCTTCCTTAAATAGTCTGCAATTAAATAACTGTTTTTGTTGTTGTTGTTGTTGTTGTTGTTGTTTTGAGACAAGGCTCACTTTGTTGTCCAGGCTGGCCTCGAAGCCTGGGCTCAGTGATCTTCTTGCCTCAGCCTCTGTAGTAGCTGGGACCATGAGACCTGACTGAATAACTATGGACGTGGTGGTCACATGACAGTGTGCTATAAAAGTTTCAAAGGTTATATTATTTAAAACAAGTTGACTACCTTTGACTTTTGTTTTCTGGTGTCCGGCACTATTCGTAGG